ACAACAGACCTTTTCATTACATTTTTCTCGGCCCAAGCATCTGTCATGTGATTATGAAGAATCCTGATTCAATGGCAGGAAAAATAGCAGAAGGATTCTGATTACTCTATGTTACCTAATTTGTAACTGCGCCCATGTTTATCACTGAAAGGGTATTAGTGCCATGTCATGGAAAGGTTGTACCATTATTTGATCTGTTCCTTTTAGGGAACAGCTCGCATCGTCAAGGAATATACAATTTATTTATTTATATTGCTCAGTGTCCCCGGTCTGAAGATGCCCTGATCGATTGGATCCCAGTAGATAGCTGGATGTACGCCGTCAAATTGACTAGGTCGATAAAAGTCGCACGCAGACAAAGTGTTTCTGTCCGTCATTGCGGCCTGCGCTCCCACTAACAGTAGCGCTGATTTGGCGAAAGTTAAATTATACCACCAAATAAACGCGCTCCTTTGTTACAGAAAATGTATGCATACTGCAGTACTGGCTGGTGAGCTGAACGCTCAAGTTGGTAAACTCTACACCGATGAACTGCATGTAGGCGACCAACACGGTGTAGGCTCCCGTACTAATCACGGTGAGTGGCTGCTGCATCTGTGTGAAGATGCTCGACTATTTCTCGGGAGCACTAACTGCCGAGGCAGCACCCGCAAAAGCGTGACAGATCACCCACCAACCTCGCGTCACTCATGAACTCAAATCGTAAAGGTTGCGATAATTTATCGCTGGAGAGGCTGTGTCCTAAACCGTCGCTGAATTTGGGGCACGGGTATAGAATCCGACCACGCGTTTGTATGTGCCGACCTTGGAGTTCTTATCGGCGGACGTCCGCAGCCACGCTGTGAGCGAATGGATACCAGCCAATCGAGGAAATCAAGTTTTCTGAAGGTATATCAAAATGCGGAAGCAACCCATTTTTGACGAATTTTTCAGCGAAATTGCTAACATCAAACTAGCGCACTATTTATTCCAGGACAAATTTATCCGTAATTAGACTTACGCTTTAGTATTCGGACAGGATGTGCCTAATGAGATACTTCAGAGCATGTTCTTCATCAAGTCCAGCGCTAGTTCTATACATTCTGCGGCAAAATCCAATCATCCGCATTTTCTCTCTCCTTCCGCTAATTGAAATCTCCATGGATTCTTCAGTGGCCTAAGCCGAAGTACGAAATGGACTTAGAGGATACCACTCTGAATAGCCTACCCACATGATAGCGAAAGGAAGTCAAGGAATCGAACCCATCGGGAGTCGGTGATCATTTGTTCGGTTACCGAACAGAGACTCAATGCTCCCACAACTCCAGTTGCAGGTTGCTGGAATACAATAATCCACTGGAGTAACACATCGAGCAGAACTGTAGCATGTGGGAGCGGGGGACGGTATTATTGGTACAGTTTTGTTCGATACAAAATATGTAAGGCAAAATTGTCAGATAAGACAACACTGGGATATTGCAATCTTGCTCTGGGTAACCAAAAACACATTCGTGCTACCTGCCACACCTGCCGGTAATTTATCCCTTCGCGCCTTTGCACACATCCATCACGTTGCGCCTAGCCCCCCATTGCAGTTACCCATGAAAGTAATGCACCGTCCCCAAAAAGAAGTAGCACAGTAGTCATCTCATTGCAAAGGGTTCTATGACACAATATAAGGCCAGCGTGACCTCGTTCACTGACTATGGCCTTCATGACATGCCTGTACAGTCGCAAGTACGGTAATTTGCACTCATCGTGTGATTGAGAAGACCCGATTGTTTCCGTGATGTGCCGACATTGGTTAGGTTTGTCCATGTTGTATGTGATATCCATTGCTATAGTACTCTACTTTATTTGCGATGTTGTTTTGCTTAGACCCAAAGGTTCCAAGCAAGTTTGTCGCTTACACCAAGCCCGCTTTATTGTTAGTTATTTCGTTATTATAGTGAAAGGATTCCGGTCGCCTTATCGTGTGCAATATTCGTCCCGCCCCGTGATCCCTTCGCTGCGATTCCCCATCTTGTGAAAACGTTGTGCTTCTATATTTTTGGTATTTTCAGAATGTGCGTGAATAAATGAGGTACATTAATGAGGATGGTACAGGAAAGCCACGCGGTGTATACAGTAAAATGAAAACTGCCAAAGTAGAGGGGACAAAGAAGAATGAAAGCGGGTTGTTAAAATTCGTCGAAAGTACTTCCATGACAGAACTGGTAAAAATGAACGGTGACAACCATATTAAGACCGGTTGGGATCTACTCCTGTGCAGCACCTGGGTCCTGAGTTCAAAGAAGTAGCGCGGTCTGGAAGGAATGTAGAAAGTGAAGCTAAGTGGCTAACACTAAATGTTTCCTTCGTGATTTGCGAAATGGTCAACAAGGATTGTGCACATAAGTGGTGTATTCTCAGCTCGGCACTGTTATTTCCATTTAGTTCATGTTTGAGCCTCTGGAAACTTGTTCGGCCAGAAATAACACAGGGCAACAACAATTTTGATGCCTGGAAAAGGACAGTGCTTCTCGTATAATTTGAGCATGCTGAATTCAAATCTGACATACTTTTTCTGTGTAAGCTACAGTATTTTTTGAAAATCAGCCAAGAATTGCAGATTTCGCATCTATTAGGTACTTTCGATTCATGACATTTCGAAAAAGCACAGTGCTACAAAGCAATTAACAGTGGCTCTTACATAATTTGAGCGTGCTGAATTCAAATCTGACATTAGTTTTTCGCTGTAAGCGAAGATTTTAGGAAAAATGACTTCCAGGAATTTCTCAACAGACCAATGTGTTCGCAGTGTTGGTCTATGACCTGGTGTAACTTACAATAATTAATGCAAACATATATCCTGAACGCAACATTTTGATTACGCATAACAACACAAAATTCGATGCATAACAGGCATTAATCGGACACAAATCTGCGTTTATAGCTTCTGAGTAGAAAGGTTTTTAGGGCAGTCATGTTTGATGCTCCAACAATAGCCCGCCATCATGCATTTGTCCCATCGTTCCTGATAACGTTCTTCCATCGTCAGCACATCTTGATGAAAACGTTCCCCTTGTTCGTCACTTACCGCCTCAAGATTTATGGGGAATTGATCAAAATGACCGTTCAAGACATGTAGCTTGACGATCTTGTTGTATTGGAATAAGAGATCTTATGCCAATTTTGTTTTCCAACACCTTACGTAGTAACCATGCAAAAATAGCAGTTTGTTATGTGATTCCTAGGTACTCGCCAAACCATGAGAATACCAAATGGCAGGTTTCTGCGTTGTCCTTCTGTCTAGCCACGAAGCATTTCCTCACAATAATGGCACCTAATGTGAGGTGCCCATTTTCGTCTTTGTGACCCAAGTGGTATTACAAAGTATGCTTTATAGCCACATTGCACGAACATCCGCTATATAACATACTGCATCAGATTCATTAGCACATTTATGTCGACCTGAATGATCCATGGATATATCTGAAACCAATGTGGATTGGTGACTAAGTTTCAATTTATCCAAATTATCGAGTTGCATAAAACTAGAGCATGCTGGAAAAACAGGTTTCTTATTTGAAATCCTCATCGAAACTTCATGTAGAATCATTTTAAAGATCTCTTGCATCTGGAAGTTCACAAAATTTTGTTTAACTGTGTATCTGATGTACAGTTATAACTTCAAACAAAAGGGCTAGATCTGCAGCAAGTTTTCATCAAGCGCATGGCGTTAAGCGTTTGCTTTTCTCAGTATGGAGAGAAGTTGATAGGCAATGCAACGATGAGTCCACAAGCAATTCCCTCTGAATTGGGTATGGGCTTGAAGCGTTGCATACGCCAAAAGAAATAAATGGATGTTCAATAATTGTTTGATACGTCGATGGGATTTTATGCTGAGTTGAACGGAAAATGTTTTCCCTCGTAAATAAGTCGACAGATAAAGTGTATCGTAGATTTCAGCAAATTCATGGTCTTGAAAAGAAATATGCTCACGTTGCACCATCGAATCTGCTTAATGATAACTATCATTGTCCGCTCAATATAGTTTTGATAGATACAGAAAACGAGGAATCTTTGCCGAAAAGAGAAGATCCCAGTATTTTGTGCAAGCTTCAGGAAACCACAAAATCAATGGACTCTTTGAACTTCTGAGCTTCGCACTGAGATATCACTATGGGGAATCTGCACAGAATATTGTGAGCTTGCTGAGCTTCTTGTTTATACCATTAGTATTGTCGGCTGTGAGCACTGTCAAAACTCAAGCTTATATGGCACTAACTTCGGTCAGAAATGGATAATACAATGAGCACGGACTTGGTAGTTGTCCCCATAGAGGTTGAGCTGGCAGAAAAACTGAAGCCACCTAGTGCTATAGATAATTGTGCTGCAAGCAAACCACGAAGTGTTTGTAACTGTTGTGCACGAGTATTGTAATAATACAAATATCTGCACTTAGAGCAGCAGTCTAAAATTAGCTGTTTGATTGTTTTTATATATAACGAAATATTGAATGGCTGTTCGCAATTGTGAGGGTTTACAAATTTATGACTGCCAGGGGGTGGAAATTTTACGACCGCCTCGGGCGGCAAAAGTAGTTGCTATGCCACTGGCAACAAGCGGCGACTTTATTTTATGGCGAGTCACATCCGCCATGTCGCAGCGCTATTAGACTGATATTGACTTTTTAAATGGCGAAGGTCTGTCAGGCGAAAAACCAGCAGGTCTTGGACACCGCCGCCGAACCATTTGCTGGAACGGGAAAAACCTGAACCATCAAGCTGGCACCACGTTGAGGTTACCCGGTAAACAATCCAGAAACCATGAATTTCGCTATGTTTTACACGGTCCTCTTTTTATAATAAAACTGTACCTTCTCCTGCTTTCCATGGATTTTTACATGGTTCCATGTCGATTGGCTGAATGTTCATATATATACACCTCTATTCTTATAATCGATGAACGGCCAACAGTAACAAACTTTTGTCCTCGGTACTTGGTGCAACCTCTCTACCGTCGTTTCTGTCCAACAGGAACTTGTGGAATTACCAGACTACAACAAAATAACCTTCACTCCAACTCAGCCTGTCCCTTTTGAAGAAATCCTTCCAGACGCACCTCCGGAGGCATTGGATCTAGTCAAACGCTTTCTGGTCTATCCTCCAAGTAAAAGGATATCGGCGTCCGAAGTAAGAATTTCCACTTAACATAGTTTGTTCTGTGAAGCTTCTACCCACCATTTTGCGCTACCCGAACTTTATTGCCTTTTCCTGTGATTCCCAATAACAACAACCTCAATAAAGTCCACCCTTGTGTGGTTCACTTACCTTCGGATTTAGTAGAGGTAGTCAGGAACCTCTATCACAGTCCCGATTGTCGAGAGTTAGGTCTCTTTCCTCGTTCGACGCATGTTTTCAAGTCCGTCATGGTCATTTTGGCTTCCATTCTCACCACAGTTCGTAGAGCTGGGTTGCACAGCACCGTAACACCTTGTTTCCAGGTCGTTAGTGCTATCTATGCTTCCCCGTTTGGCAATTTTGTACATGAAGCATGTGGCTAGTGAACTGCGGTAACGACTGGTCACCGTGAGAACGGAAGCTAAATGGTTTGGTATCCACTGCAGTAGCGTGATTCAAATTCCACCTTGGTTCCGGCGCCCGATCCAACTACACTCCATGCACACTTACCGTCAGAAATAACACAATGGAGCTGAAATGGAGAGAGTAACACTATGGATACGATAGAAGCTTCTGGTGTTGTGACACTCACTGTCCGATCGAGCCTGCACTAACTAGAAAATCGCCACGAGAAGCAGCTAAAACTCTGTGGGACGGTGTAGATAGTGGCTGCGCTAGAAATTCACGAGTTGCTACGATGGCGTTTCTAGTTCGCATATAGCTATCGGCCCGTTGAATAATCAAATTTTCTGTGCGTATTCTGGAATATACCCACTAATGTCTTCCAGAAATCTACAACCGAGATTACACAGTCAACGGAACAATATTAAACTTTTACAGGGGAATCATTGAAAGAAACCGTGTGGCCATTTAATTATGGGTTGTTGGGACAGTGACGCTCAAATGACCCATTGGGGTTTCCTCTAAGATCGTAGAAATGCTTGATGTGTATCTGACCTTTGGTCCTCGGACTTGTGGAGCGGGCCACCGTAGTAAGATGTTCTGGACCCCTGTTTGCATAAGGAGCGGAATCTTCGTGTGACTCGTGCCGCTAATCTGTAATCCGCGATTCACTGGTTCGATTTTGCGTAGGTTTTGAAGGATATACATGCACATAATTCACGTGTGACTATCGGTTCATGTGATAGCGAAGCATCTGTACCATGCAATACCGTAATGCTATAACTATTTTTCTTTTTCCACGCTTTTATTGAGGCGATTAAATGAGGCTATATCCGAGTGAGTACAAAAACAGATGCCAGTTTATGTGGTCCGACCACTGGTGGAAACGGTTTGTCCACGGAGACCGTATAATAAAACATGATGAGAAGGTATTCAGCGCTAAGACTTCATTTTTCTATGCCTGGCGGTACATTATTTGGTAGTGTCATTTCATTAACGACGGCGGTGCCGTAAGGCTTATTTCTAAACTTTCTTATCAGATGCAAGGTGACCGAGCGCAGAAATCGTTCTGATAGGACTGTGTATTGATGTCATCTTGCTCTCAAACTACGTCGTTTCATCTGATTCTTCGATTAATCCCTCCGACCCTGTCGCCCAGTGGATTTTTCTTTCTATTTCGTCATTCAGTTCTTCGATCCTACACTTTGCTGTGGCTGTATTGTGTTTCCGTGACGGTGCAACATCTTTCATTTGTCCGAATGCCCTACCGACAAGCATGTTTCACTCGCTACCATAACAGCATCTCGGTCCAGCTCTTAATCGGGGAAGCGCAAATAATAATGCACACATGCTGGGTGCTCCAAAAACCCAAAAATCTACTTCTAACTGCTGTGTCAAACACTGCTCACGGAGCTCAATGGCTTAGTGATCATGGCGATAGCCGCCAAGCATTATGCGCCGAGTACCACTCCCAGCTCGGTTTTCTCTACCTGTTGAGTCCAAACAAAGATGAAACCGTCGGTCGTGGAGTGCAGCGATGGGAGAAAGCCACACCGAAATTAAAAGTTATTTATCACGGAATAAAAGTAAACGCTTGATACGTCCCGTTGGATGATTGAGTTGAATACGATGAAGTCAAATTATATGTGGGTCGTCTACCGACTGTCTACCGAGTTGAGTGCTTTGATACATACCGTCAATGTCGAGTGTAAGCGTTCAGAAATACACGGGGTGCGGTGGTCGTTGATATATGACGTGAGATATGTAAAATATGTTCGCTCACTCGGTTCCATTTGATACATAAATCCTGTAGGAAGGCATGATTTCGCAATCCACAATAGCGTAGTTTAGGTAAAAAGAGTCCTGGGAGCTAAGAGCAACAACTAATTGTTTTTAGAAACACCCAAGGTAGGGGAGGATCCAACTGAGCCTGGAAGTGGGCTCCTGGGTTGGCAAACCCGAAGGGAAAATTAATTCCGTCGACACTCTAGACGGCTATATTGTTCCTTCAATTTCAAGCAGTTACCCCTGAGCTGCATGTTGTAGTTAAGTTTCAGTAAATGATGGCATACATGGTTGGGTGACTCAATATTTGCTGCTTTAATATGAGATCACAGCAAAGCCTTCGATAGCGTCCGCTGAAAATTCCCAGCAACTTCAGCCTTCGGTGGTAAGAGTGACACCGCAGGCCCTTTACATTCTTTGTTGCGCTTCGTTGTGATGCCTCTAGTGCCTCTAGGTCGCGCTTCAACCAAGGTTGCCAAGCTTGGATAGCGTATTCAACATGCGGGCACACGTAGGAACTGTGGATCATTGGGAAGATTGATGAGTCAAATCTCCCGAATGTCCTTCGCAGCATGCCAGCATGCTGGTTGCCTCTTTTCGCAGCTACCTCAGCCAGTTTTGAACAGTTGAGATCACGCTGTACGAGCACACCAAGATCACGTTCCTGGAAGCTGGTCTGCAATCGGTTTGTCCCAAGGAAATAGATGTGGTTATGTCTATTGCGTAATTGTGTAACGCGACTTTTGTCTACGTTGAATGGTAGGACCTTCTGAACTGACCAGTTCGACATTGTCTTAAGATGGCACTGTAGCTGTTCGTGGTCGTCCGGTCCTCTGTTCCTTCTCCATATCTTGATATCATCAGCGAAAAATAGGAAATCGGAAGCAATTGATCTCGCTAAATCGTTAATGAACACCAAGAATAGATGAAGTCCAAGCACTCAGCGTTGTGCTACACCACACACCACATCAATTGCATCGGACGGAGTTTCCCATGCTCTCACCTCCAACCGTCGTTCGTGTAGAAAATTGCTAATCCAACTCAGCATTGGGTCGCCCATGCGATAGTTCCGAAGCTTCTGAAGGAGAATTCGATTCTCTATGCGATTAAGCGCTTTTGAAGAGTTCAAGTAGATGACATCGACTCCTGCTCCATCATCAACGGCTTCCGTCCAGCTATTACGTGCAATTAATGGGTTATTAGTAAATTAACGGTTTGACGAAAGCCATGTTGCTCTGGGCTTTAAGTTATGGCTTTCCAGATACTGCATCAGCGCATCTGCGATGATTGATCCCATAGCTTCGGATAGTACAGGAAGTAGTGTTATTGGACGGTAGTTGGTAGGGTCAGTGCTGCTATCTACTTTATGGATAAGAGTGATGACCCCTCGTTTCCATACTGGTGGAATACGCTTCTCTTCTAGGCATCGCTGATAAAAAACGGCCAGTCCTTTTGCTAGATCATTAGCTACTGCCCGCAGAGCTTTTTGGTTGCCTGTTGTCGACTCCAGAAGAACTGTGGATACGCAAGTATAACAACTGCTTCAACACAGCTTCCGCAGTGAAGATGATGTTGTCTAAACCCGACGATGGAGTGATAGAAAAGAGGAGAATATTTGGACTGGTTGCCTGCTGGAGAGTTTGGGAGTAGTGAAGCCGTAGGAGATCAGCTGCTTCCATTGCTGACCGCGTGCATCGATCAGGTGTGACCAGCGCTGGAATCCCGCGCTTCACCTTGCACAGGCCGTTAACATGCCTGTACAGTAGTTTTCGGGTCGTGCAGAATCGCTTCATTAACTTCTGCTGATGCGTTACCTTGTCCTCGCGGACGAATTTCACACAGAAGTTACTATGTATCACGTATTCAGTCTAGCTTTCGGCATTTGGGCAGTTCTTGTGAGCTCGCCATGCCAAATCCCTCAGTGACATACATTAACACCTTCTACTCCTCAGAAATAACGTATAGTCGTTTTTATGTTGGAAGCCGTTCTGTTCCGATGCGTGAGCAACCAGTGTGCTAAACCTCCTAGTAAAGGTTTCCCAGGCAACAGCTGGGGTGCATTCAGTTAAGAAAGTTCAAGATGAATCCTTAACAAGCGTAGCTGTCACATTCTAGTGGGTGTCAGAATGCACTTTATCATCGTCCTTTTCAGGATATTCCGCATAGCATATATAATAAAAGAGTAGAATAACAGGGTCACTGCGACCCAGTGATGTACTTGTAACTATTCCGTCACCCATGAGTTCTTCGTTAGTGAGCACAAGAACCGGTCTCGGCAGTTTGTTAGCAGTTCGAATCTGGTGGGAGAGGTTACGTGGTTGTACAGAGGGTGGCTAACAACTAGCTTTGCAAGCAGGCTTTAAACTGCGTACCGTCGGTTGCCGACGTTTCTATGTCGTGTACGTTAAAGTGTCCAGTGATAAGAATGTGGATGCAGGACTTGTTCAAAGAAACTGAAAAATGTGGTTCAGTTTGGAGTCCATTTCCGAAGTTGAGTTTGGTTGGCGATAGATCACGGCTACTAGACATGTGTCCTTGTTCCTCAACCATAGGCGGCACTGAAGCGAATCAGGAGCGCAGATTTCAGGGTGATCGATAACTTCACATCGGAGGTTTGTATTATAATAAACAATCACACCACCACCCCTTCCAGTTCTACCATTTTGAAGCAGCGACATACCAAGTACATTGATCTCAAACTCGGTTATCTCAAGGTTTAACCAGGTCTCTGTAATCATGACGAAGTCCCGCGCTTGTGACGCATGGAGTTCTCTAAGTTCGGCCTTGGACGTTTGTGTACACGCAAGCTAGGGCTTTTGTTGGTAGGAGTGCGTTAACGGATG